ATATATATATGAATCACAACATAATAGGTAAAATGTAAACCATCTTTATATAAAATATAGTATGAAACGAATACCTTAATAGGACTTTAGAAACACTGCTGGAGAAGAATTTCAACATATCAGTATATTTAAATATATATGCCTAGATATACATATAAATATAATGTATATTTAATATGCCTATAAATCATTAGTATCGTATTGTCATTATAATGTTATTATTATTAGTTTTTTATTGCCTTTTTTATTGTTACTAATAATGCAGTTTTTATTAAGGAAAAAAGGAATAACAAAGTCAAAGGCAACGCCAACGATTTAAAACACTTTAATTTTGGCATAGATAGGCCTACTGTAGTTCGGCTTTGCATTCAAATTTCTTTTGGTATGGTAACTATTTCGTAAATATACATTAAAACAGTAAATTGGGGCCGAGTTGACCTGCTTTCCTTAAGCCATCCATCATCCTGTAACATTTAGTGCCAGCCAGTGAAAGGCCAGTCATTGCGGCCCAGAGGGCTACCAATTTGACAATGACATAGTCATAGGAATGATAGGGGGCCTAGCTAGGGCCTAGCCAGCTGGAAAGGCTGTAAATATAGACAAGCTACAATAAAAAATAGCATAGCACAAAACAATAATTTCACATAGACATAGGCCTATATAATCAAAAAGTAATGAATTGTAATAAACTAATTCAATTACCTTTCCACATCATTTAAAAAACAGGACGTATTATTTCGTCGCCGGACACCGCGAACGACGTGTGTGTGCACCGACGACACGTACGTGTGTGTTTATTTTTTTTTTTTTGTGTTAAAGTTCACCACACATGCGTGCTTACAGCCGCCTTTTTTCGAAAGAAGTAAAAAACGCAAACAAAAACAAGAAATACGATTGTTTACTTTTAGAAAAAAATGGCTTTGCCACCCGAAAAAGTCGCTGAATTAAAACAAATCATACATAATCAATTAAGTCAGGTTGGTAACAGGACCACGTACTTTTTAATACATGTACAGTAATAAGAGCGGGCCTAGAGGGCCTAGCTAGGCTAGGCAGGGAGTTGTTACAGTGACTATAACAACTCCCTGGGCTAGAGGCTAGCTAGACCTACCTAGGCTAGGCCTAGTCTAGCTAGCGGCCTAGCCTAGGATATAGAGGGCCATGCCTCCCTAATTATCAAAAATCCAAGAAGTATTGTAGTATAATGTAAGTTTGACTGCGCATGAGTTATTTATTAATATTTATTTCACGTACCTAATTTTTACTGATTTGTTTAACCAAAACCTCTTCCATTTTAGCCCCTTCCGGCCTATATATAGGGGCCTAGCCCCTTAGTCCTAAAAATGAAACTCGTTAGAATGTAAAATATCATTAGAAAAATGTGTGCATAAAAAAAAATTGTTTTTTATATTGAGATAGGTCAAAGCCAAATTTTCGGCAAAATCTGCTCGGAAATCGGGTCTTATTTTCCAAAATGTACAGATGGATTTTTAGGCCAAAGTTTTGTGCGGTGGATATATTCCCCGTACAGACCTTAGTATACACTCTAGTATTGCTGCCATTTGTTGGCTGGTGGTTGTTTTTTTAATATTATTGATTAGGAAACTAATAGTATTGTTTTCATTGTTGTTGTTATATTTATTGTTTTTAATACTACTGTTATATTACAATCTTATTTATTTAGATGGATGTTCATTCAAGAATTCGGCAAGTTCTCTCAGAATCCATCCACGAATTAGGTGGGCCGTCATCCGACAAGGAGTTCGGTGAGCAAGAGTTATTAGCAGCCCTCAGGGAGAAAGGTATTGTGGACGACATCATGCGGCAGTTACAGATTGGCGAAGACGTTGGTCATGGACAGCATGGTCAACACCCTCAAAGACCTGCTACCCATTATGTCAATAAGGAAGAAAAAACACAAAGTATACCCCTCTGTAAAGGTGAGACTGTAAAGGTAGTCTCGTATTTATTACTGAACGTAGTTGAACGAGCTGTTAGTCCATCATACTAAGCCTCAGCATTGTGTGGTATGGTTGCCAGATAGGAATGCATTTATGTTGCTTCCATTCAATTTGTTTACTATCATTTAGAAGGGCGGAGTCTATACCAAATGAGACTCTGGAAGGGGAATTTATTTAAGGGGTGGGGGGATGCGTGTTTAATGTTATTACTTTAAATTATTCTGGCAGGGCACTTTTAATTAAAACTTTAAATTATTCTGTACAAATTTTCTTTTAATTTTTGCTGTAAAGGCATTTTGTATCTTGTTTAATCAAAGCGGTTTGTTTATTAAAATAAATACGGTAATCATTTTCCACAAAAATGAACCTCTAAATTTTGTGGTTGCTTTTTCTTAGGTAATGTAGACCCAACACGTCGTTACCTGTACCTACAGGTGCTGGAGGGCAAAGCGTTTCTTGAACACCTTCAAGAACCCCAACCGATTCCAGGCCAGGTTACCTCAACATTCATGTTACATGTCAACTTCCGAGGTCAAAGGTTCAAATCCCGACCGGTCCCCTGTGCCTGTGAACCAGATTTCCAAGAGGGATTCTTGCTTGAAATACACAAAGACAAAGGAGGTATGTAGGCCTGTGTGTCAATAGCTCTTCATTTTTTTCAATGAACTCTGATCTTGATGGACAAGTTCAGACCCATAAATAGGAAGCTTTCGATTGCATGACGACGGTAGGACGTAGAACGTAATGACGTCCCTAAAAGTCATCTGCGCATGCGAGAACATTACGGTCACCTCGTCAAGTAGATTCTGGAACGTAATTTGGCCAAATTTACGTATGCAGAGAACGTGGGACGCCAGGTAGGACGGTCATGCATGAGTGATTCTGTTCTAGCGTCGGGTCGTCGCACAAATCGAAAGCTCCCTATTAATGTTTTAAACAACTGTGCTGTGACATGACCTCATGCCCATTAGTGAGCTTTTGAATTGATGTGAATCTAGAATGGATTCAATCATGCGTGACTTGGACCGTCCTCTGCACAATCTAGATTTAGCCAAATTGCATTCTAGAGAATCCACGCAACACAAGAACTCAACATATGTGCAGATGACTGCTACATTATTACGTTCTAATTCCTACCGTCGCCGGGCAAATTGAGCTCCCTACTATCTTAAGTTGATAACTTCTCACTTGTAGATTTTGACTAATGTAGTATAAGTAGTTAAGTATTAGTAATAATCATATTTTATCTTTCGCATTCACACTTGCTGTCGCAGTTAATGGTGATATATTTGTTTGTTTATTTATTCATTCCCAGTATGCATAGAACAGTAGAAATATACACAAAAAATGCTAAGACCTCAATATTATGAATAGTAGAATATAAAAATAAAGAGAATTACCTTTTTGTTATGCTATACAGTGGCAGATCCAGAGAAAAAATTGTGCGTAGGGGCCATGGAACGTGCGAAGCAAGGAGCAGAGCGGAGTTAGTCACAGTGTTTGAGATTTAATTTTAGAAATGCTTTACAAAATTAGTTGCTGACACATGGAATTTAAATCAAAAGTTAGCTTGTTTTGGAGTTCTGTGGTCGCCTCTTCCCCCTTTCTTCTCTTTTTGCTTTTCTCACTCTTTTTTTTTGTGGGGGCCTTAGCCCCATAGCCCCCTGGATCTGCCCCTGGCATATAATGTTACATTTTAATATGCCTTTTTAGGAGATGCATCTAAGATGGCTGACTGTACATCAATGCTTGCTATAAGTGACCCCATCCACCTAGTATTAATCAAGACTGATAGTGAAGGGGACACCAGTCTAGTTTCCTCTCACCATCTCGAATGGAGGTCTGTCCTGTCCTCTGACAATGCACGAAACACGATGGCAGTTGAAATAATGGGTGTTGGTAAGAACATCTAAAGCCCTGTACAGACTATCAAATTTTATTTAACAAAAAACTGTTGTATGCCCATATATAGTCATGATGTGCCTATATATGGTCATGATGTGATGTCATCATGGCCATATTTAGGCATGTCACATGTCTTTGTCAAATATAATTTGATAGTCTGGACAGGGCTTGAACCAGCTTCAACAAACTTCAAACAACAACAAATTATTAACCTAAGTTGAACTAATGACTAGTACAATTTCAACTACTGACTTGGTGCCTTAAATGTTGCATGGTTGTTTACAAAAAGTTTTGGAACGTTTTAAAATTTGATAATTCCCTAAAAGTAAAATAATTTGTATGGAATATGTTTATCTTTATTATTTGTATAACCAGCAGCTTCAAACAAAACTACTCTTTTTTTCGTATTAATTTCCTTTATTTTTCTTCTACTGTTCTATTCCTCCGTCATTTTATCATATTATCATTTATATCACCACAAATTTTCAGAAATACACATTACTCCTCTACTGTTTTTATCACATTTTTTTCTTTTATTCCTCCATTTCTTTCTTCATCATAGTGATTTGTACACTCCACATCATGTTTTTTATTTAATACAACTTTCATAGGAGAAATGTCTTGCCCTATCTGACGTGTTATCGTACCGAATACTCTGTACATTCCCAAATAAAATCGCAAGTGATTCAGGTAGGAATAGAACTTATGACCTCCAGATAACTAGCCTGGTGTCATAACCACTAGACCATATGCAGTACTGAGTATTCGGTATGATAACACATAGGGCAAAACATCACTCCTATGATATTTTCCTGATGCAAACACACAGAAGGTGAAATGACTATGTTGATTATGTTAATTAACAGTTTGTTGATATTTTTTTCAATATTTCCATAGGTGGTGAAAATAAAGTACCTGTAGGTGTGTTGCAAATACGATTAGAGTTGATACCAACGCCCAATCAGATGCTGGCAAAAGACATCATTGCTGCACAAGTGAGTCTGGTTATACATATGCAAATAAAATTATTTATTATGCAAATAAGATTATTAATTTATGATGCAAAGAAGTTTATTAATTTATTATGCAAATAAGATTATTAATTCATATGCAAGTAAGATTAATATATTATGCAAATAAGATTATTAATTTATTATACAAATATGATTATTAATTTATAATGAACTTTGATGTCCCATCTAAGTTATTTTTGTGGGGAATAAAATTAAAAGATGTTGCTTTATTAGGTTTTATTTATTTATTATATATACCATAATGCAATAATATTAGATTTTACTATATTATGATAAACACTATAAATTATACATAATAAGTGAGGTGGAAAATATATATGAAATAGTAATTTAAAGTATAATACAAAAATAATACAAAATGTATGTATATATATATCTTATATAATGTAAACGGTATAATGTTTATCTCCAATGACGAGAAGTAATATGTCTATAACAACAATTATGTTTCAGATTAATTTAGAGAAGAACAGACAAGCAGAAAGAGAAAGGTTGTTCTTAGTTTATGCCAAGCAATGGTGGAAAGAATATTTACAAATAAGAGAGACGCATCAACACAGATTAGTAAAGATATTTGCACAGGTAAGCTTATTTTAGTTGCAGTTTTGAGCATTCTGGTGTTACAGGGAGTTTGCCCTCCACACCACTTAATGAATTTGGTCTCCAGTCTCTTGCAAACCCCCATGCACAGGGCCCAAATTTTCTGTGCATTTAGGCCTTGTGCCATAGTAGCTACTATGGACCTCCATTGAAGGTTTAGATTATTATTTTGTTTACCTAGGATGAAAATGGAGTCAACCGACCTGTGTGTGCATTTGTTAAACCTCTGAGGGCCGGCCGACTTTTAGACACGACACGTCAGGCTGCTCGATTTGTCAGTGTCATAGGCTATGAAAGGGCGCCCTCACTAGGTGGTGGTAGTCATCGGGAACTCTGGTGTAATATGCATACATTCTTTTGTAAGAATAAAGGCGTAAGTGTCAATTGTTGTATACAAGTACTGTGTTTCATATTGAAGATGAACTTGTTTTTTTTTTTTTAGTACAATCATTGTCTGCTTGAATCAAGTTGATGGTACAATACAAATTAATTATTGTTTCTCAAAGATCTACAGCTATATATAGTAACACATAATACAATAAGAATCTGAATTTGTTTAATAGTCATGTTCAGACTTTAATTTAATTAACACGTTTGTGCCAGGTACGCGAATTCACATCCTTCAGGGTTGTCCAAACATAGCACTTTTGTATTGCATGTAATCTAGCTGGCAGTAGTCACCAGAACATGAATTCTCACCCTGGCAGTTTAGGGAAGAACCGGAGGGCTGTGATAAAAAATATATATACCATATTTACAGTTGATGATGGGCCCTCCTATGCCATGTAATGTGCAAAAACTAGAAAAAAAGACTTGGCAGCCAACATGTTAAACCATTAATTAGAAAGATTACTATCCTATTTCCCCAAAAAGACAGTGATGCTTAACTTTCATTATTTTATTTCTGTTACTGTATAGTGTAATGAAGCAGGTTTTGTGAGATTAAATGCTATTATTATCTGATATGTTATTCATTTTTTTTCATCCATTTAATTAATCATGGAGGATACAACATATTTTCAATTAATCTTACATTAATGAGTTTAAATTCACAGGATTGTGAAGATCATGCTGTGTTACTCTGTAATCTCCTACTTGGGTTTGGCCTAGATGCATACGTATGTGTCGGTACAAAGGCAAAGAACGTCCCACACACATGGGTCATGTCCATTTCACCAGATGGGGTCGTCATGTTCTGGGAAAGCTTAACAGGGCATAGGTGAGTACACAATTAGCTCATTGGGGGCAGTAAAACTTGGTTAAACCAGTAGCCACTATGTGTGCGTGGAACCATAGAAATCCTTGGGCCCCAGGTTCAATTCCATCCCTGTTCTTGGGCTGATGGTGTAAACATCTCCTATCCTCCTTACTAAGCTGTCAAATTTTAGATTAAAAACTGTTTAGTGCGAGCAGTGCTACCGTATGTGTGGGGTGTTGTATACTTTCGCGATTGTATGGGTTGCGGTAGTAGCACAAGATCTTCCCGACAGGAGGCTGGTACCTCCGACACGTGGTTAGTACCCCCGACAGGGGCCTCTTAACTTGCATGGTTTTCTATCAAATTATCCTTTTTAAATAAAGAATACCATAATCAACACAGTTTTTTTCCCCAACAGGTGCTAGGCTTCCCCAACAGGGGGGTGGTGACCCCTTGTCGGGGAGCTTGGACCCCTCGTCGGGGAATTCCTGGCGCCGCCCCTGATAATAGAGACAGGCAATTTTTCCTCAGCTTGTGTATAATAATTGTAGTAATTTTATTTATTAGATTTTTATCTAATAACAGTGAGTAACTATTTGTGAGTGACCCTGGTTACAGGATGGAAGATATGCTCTATGGACTAAGTGTCTTTGTGAGGCTTACTGAGTGGAATTCTATTTAATCTTGAAAAAAAACAAAACATGATTTTTGTCAGGTTTGAACTGCTGACTCTGAGATTATAAAGCAAGTATCTTAAACACAGAGTTACAGCTCCACTCTATCTTCATAATATTCAATAAATTAATGAGAAGTGTTCTGTTTTTGTTTTAAGATATGTACACCAGACAGTTGATCCAGATGACCCCCCAGCAGTTGACCAGCCAAGAGGGCAGTATCCCTACAGAGCCATTGGCTGTGTGTTCAACCATCAAAGCTTCTATGCTAATAACCAGGTTAGTGAAATAAGAATTTGTTCTAATTAATATTATTATTATTATTATTGTTATTATTATTATTATTATTATTATTATTATTATTATTATTATTATTATTATTATTATTCAAATGGAAATTGTTATTGTTGTTTTTGATATTGGGGTCTTTATTTTTTATTTACCAGTGCTGCTGTTGTTGTTGCTGCTGTTGCTGTTATTATTGTCATTCTCTTACAATGTTTAAATTTTTTTTGGGAATTTATATTTTTATATTCTTGATATCTTTATAGTTACTATCATTGCTGTTGGTTTGTTGTTGCTGTTTCTATTCGAATTGTTATTATCATCTTCTTCAGCACCACTATTGTTGCCATCACTGGCATTGATGATGTTGTTGGCATTGATGATGTTGTTGCCATTATTGTTTTGTTGCCGCCATTACCATCATTTTCATTAATAATTTCATTATATCCATTAATTTATTCATTATTTTCATTATTATTCAATTATTATAGCCATCGGACACGGTTGAATTATGTCGGTTTGAACTTCACGATGACACCCTGTGGAAAGCAATGAGTGTGGACGCAGTGCAGTCAGTATGCGGACCAGGCAACCTGGTAAGACCAAGGCCTACTATCAATAAATCAATCCAATCTTCCATCTTCAACAGGAATTCTAAGTTGGAAAGAGTCACTTCTTGGAGATTTATTTAAATGTGTCTAATTTTATTTTGCTCTGCATGGTGATACTTAATATCGCCACTGACTTCCGTGAGACAATTGATAATAAAGTAGTAAAAATAAGCAAATATTAAGAATTTGCTGGAGATTGGTTATTTTCCGGGAGATCTCGCTTGCTTATGGGAGTGCGAGTGGCCGTCTTGATTTGGGCCCCCCGGTTCAATTTGTTTACAATTTCAGTGAAAAAGTACTTTATATACTTATTTGTTTGTTATTAAATTTTATATATTAATGCTTGTGTAGATAGTTCTGAAAAGGACTGTTGCTTCATTAAATTTTTGTATATTAATTTGAATGTCTATTTTCCATTTCAGCCAAGTTGGCCAAACCATTCCCCGCTTTGTCCAAACATCACAGACGCTTCACTTGCCAGTAACGACCTTGAATATCAACTTAGAGGACTTGTAACGGACCAAAGAAAGGTAACCAGTTAACGAAAGTTTCACAAGTCAGTAGTTGAAATTGTACTAGTCATTAGTTCTAGTGTGCAGGTTAATAGTTTGTTGTTGTTTGAAGTTGGTTTAAGCTCTGTCCAGATTATTAAATTTTCATTGACAAAAAAATTGTATGCCCATATATAGTCATGATGTGCCCATATATAGTCATGATGTGCCTATATATGGTCATGATTTGATGTCATCATGACCATATTTAGGCATGTCACATGTTTTTGTTGAATGAAATTTGATAGTTAGACAGGGATTTATGTTTCTATAAACATAAATTGACCTGTAGATTGGCAGTTTATATGCTTGCCTTCCAATCCCAGGGTCCTTGGTTCAAATCGAATGTGAGCTACCAGTTTGTTATTACAAGACTAAGTGCAGCTCTAATCTTAACCTTCATAAAAGTTTATAAAGTATTGTTTAATTTTGTATTTGGCCAATTTTCTTTTTAAAATTTCTTTGACCCCATGTTGTAGGACTTAGGCCTGACAACAGTTTGGGATGACCAGCTTAGTTACCTATTGACCCCATCACTAGCAGCTTATGAGCAGGAGCGTGTGACGGGGGTGAGCTCAGGGAACGAAGAATTCCAGCATGCTATCAGGAGAGCAGTGCCAGATGGACATACCTTCAAAGGCTTCCCAATCCAGTTCATCCATCGCAATGCAAGGAGAGCATTTGCAACGTGCCTGAGGTACGTGATGATAAGTCTGGTGATGATAATATTACGATATATGCTCGCTTATAAGGTGATCTGCATATAAGATGACCCCCACAAGTTTGAGAAGGTTTTTAGATGATTTTTCTATAAAGGGGCCAGAAGAAATATTACGATATATGCTCGCTTATAAGGTGATCTGCATATAAGATGACCCCCACAAGTTTGAGAAGGTTTTTAGATGATTTTTCTATAAAGGGGCCAGAAGACAACCCCTTATTTCACCTTCAGAATTCCTACTTTTTTGCTGCTTATTGTGATCTTGATAATACATCTAGCTGGCTAAAAACGGAGGCAAATGTAGAGCCAATTTTGCAAATAACACCATTTCATGGGCTTTAAATGTTCAATAAAATTATTTCTTCACATTTAATATTGTGTTCATTCATACTAATTAGCTTTATTTCAGTTGTAACTTTGTGGATCGTCCATAATACGAACATGATTTAAAAATCAAAAATTTACATGTGTTGCATGTATAAGACGACCGCCTGTTTTTTTTTTCATTGTAATTTGCTACTTTAAGCCTCTTCTTATAGGCAAAAATACATGGTAATAAAAATGATTTTTAAATCTATTAAATAGAAAATAATACTGTTTTGTGGTCAAACATGGAAACACTGAAAAATTGAATTACAAAACTGAATTACTAATTTACAAAAATCATATAAATCTTGGTTCCCATACAATCACTACACTGTTGCTACATCAATCACTACTCTACGTATCTGTCCCCGATGCAATCGGGAACGGCTCTCCGATTGAAAAAATTTGGACCGGTTACAATTCATGGAATGTCATCAGCTTTCCATCACACTTGATTTTCTCGCCGTGCGACGATGTCGAAAAGTTGCATATCTATCAGACATATCCTTTGATTGTGTATCAAGAGCATACAGGACTAGATGTGCACCTTAGTGTACAAACAACCCTATCAAGGTAGGCCTAACCTAGGGCCTAGTAGAAGCAATCTTGGGCTAAAGGTTTTCTGTTTTTTTTAGGCCTAGGCCTGGTAATAGTATTCAGTAGTCAGCGTGATCACCAAAAAAACGTTTTCATACAACCGCTGCTGAGAGTCGCTGACGACTGTCGGCAATAGCCTGTAGTGATTTTATGGGAACAAGTTACCTTACAATGAGACACAGAAGAAATTCAAATGTTTTGTTTGATTGTTGAGGTTTTTATAATGCCATCACAAACTTCACATTTTTAACATTGCACAGTCCACAACCTCCTTAGTTAAATCATGTTGTTTATACTGTGCCAGTAATAACAAATTTTATTTTCAATTTTTTCTAGGTCACAAGTCTGTGAGAATATTGTCTGCTGTCGTGGTGATCATGTTAGGTTAGCTGTACGTGTACGCGTGTTCACGTATCCCGAATCAGCCTGTGCCACGTGGGTGATGTTTGCGTGCAAATACAAATCTATATTATAGCCATATGATGTGACGGATGAACATTCATTGAACCAAAGCTGAAACAAATGAGATTGAGAGCAGCAGATATTCTATCCTTGGTTCAATTCACACTGAAATACTATTATTACGATAGTATAACCTGACATAGTATTAAAAAACTATTAAAGTCTGACCAAAAAAAAATGACATTGATTGCAAATATTTATTTGAAATACAGTAAGTAATAATACTGATATAATAACACCATGCAATATTTAACATCATTAAAATACTACTATGCATAAATAAGTTAAGTATTGCACGGCACAAAAAAAATCATTTAATTACAAAATAAAATATTGAAATGAAAAATTTAAATGATCAAATACACTACTTCATTTGTAATTGAAATATTGTATATTTTTTGTAAATTACCTTATTTGTTGTGTCGTCTACCTGACATTACTTTGTAAAGTGTAAAATAAATCCTTATATATTAACAAGTTGATGTAGTTTTGTAGTTATTATTGTTTCTAAGTACTGCATTTATAAATTAGGCTATCATTTACTGTTTACATGGTTTTTCTTTTTTTATTTGATTTGAGTTTATTCGGAAAATCTTTGATCATACAGTTGCATCAAAATTTATAAAAGACAATACAAGATTACAGTATTGAAATGAAGGTTTCTGTGCTTATATTATAATACGCCATATGAAAGGTAACAGTTAAACCGGAGCTCTAGACTCACAGGCCGGAGTGTCCTTTTCCATGGCCTTTGAAAGCAGGCTGCAATGCTGTGGGAGGAGTGACCATTCCTCGTGTATAACGAGTCCCAGCATATATCGGTGTCATGTCACAGGAATTTCAGCCTCCCCTCTATTATTCATAGTAAATTCTGTGCTCTCTAGTCTTAAACTGAGGTAGGGGAAGTGCCTAGTTAGTTAGTCCCTGTGGAGCCCGCGAATTTAGTAACTAATAGGCTCGAAACCGATTCCACCAGCCTATTTAATAATAAATATGAAAAACCAATAAAGAAAACCCCTCAAAATAATACTCCAAATTGCTCATTAAAATATAATGTGGCACATAACTCTTAACAAGTCTTATTTATTTATTTCCTCTGAAGTTTACAGTCATTTACAGATCTTATACTACGAAAATTCTTAAATTTTGCTGCCAGAAATTTAAATGCAGAGACTAATAAATTGTATTTTAACGTAGTTTTAAACGTCCGTTATTTGGCGGGAAACAAACTTTTCTAATTTTCTATTGAAAGGTAAAGATAATTTTAGTGAAATACTATTATGCAAATTAAGCAATTTTTTCTTTTTTATTATTTAATTTTAGGTGGCAGAATTCGGCAGAATACTTTATGATAGATAAACGGCATTATTACTGTGTTTTCTGTGACGGTAATTGGCGACGAAATATTTTCGCGCTCTGATGTTCAATTAAAACTTACAGCAAATAAATAGCTTGGTGAACTTCAGTAGAAAAGTAAAGTATTTTTTTTTTATTAAGTAAACAATTTATGATACGAAATTTTTTGTTCATTGGATAAACTCAACTCAATTATATATGCAGGAAAGTGAAAGTAGAAAAAGAAAATCCTGGATTTGTATTGTGTAATATTAGTCTTTTTTGAAAATATCTGTTCTTTATCCGGGGGTGTCGACATTTCGTAACCCGCACTTTCCATAACTCTGCCCCTCTGGCATTTCGTAACTTGTAATGTCTTGCTTAGAAAGAAAGTCCGGGTTGCTAAATGCCTGCCACCCGTTTAGGCCTATGCGAATTCAAAGGATGGGCGAACCCAGATCCAATAGTTATTTGCTACCAAGCGCCATTTTACTGGTAGACAATTTCTTTCTTTACAAAAAACAATAACACAAAAGGATCAGCGCTATATTGGTATATAGTTTATCGGTCGGCTTTAATACGCTTGTTAGCAAATAACTATCGAATGGCGTGATTCACCGCTCTCTTGTGTTCATATTAGGGAGAAGTCATTTTACTTGATATGAGTGCTCCCTGTTCAGATAAACTGCGGGTAGGCCTATTGTGAGGCAACGAAGAAGTTAAAGATGCAAAGCGTAAAATAAATAATCGATTAGGCCCTACCCTTTTTTTCATTCCAAGATAGCCTACTTTTGTTCTAATAAAACTGATATTTTCAATGACAATTCGTTATGTTTAAGATTATTATGCTGCGGATAGATTTAATTTTTTGTGTCTATGATCTTTTTAATCACATTTTTTTTCTGTTGGCTGCAGATGGAATAATACATTTAAAAATACATTGTTATAATTATTTATGTTCGACTGAGTGAGGTTGGCGTGTCCTACGCGAGAGAGGGTGATTAAATCCCTTTCCGTAAGTTAAAATTTTCTGAAACCAAAACATCCCGAAGATGGTAGAAATCCAAACATCTTCTTAATTAAGCATTATATTATAGGTCTATCATTTTACGATGTGTGTGTTGTATAGGCCTACGTTCATGGAAAATTGGCAGCGCCTACCGCCAACAACACGTTCAAAACATATTGAAAATCTATAAAAATATTCAAATTTGATGAATCATCAAAATATAAATGATAAAACTATAACGTCTATAAAATAAATGTTATAGCTCCAAGCTAGGCCTCATTCGTTTATTTTGATCCAGATTCGGGCCATTCAACGGCGGCACAAGATTTGTAAATTTGTTGCTGCTGCTTTGAGCATTTTTATTTATTTATTTCATTCCATTTATTTACCCAGGGTAAGCTCAAACTGATTTCCATTTGGGCCCTGCATATTATACACTAACCAATATACCCTTAAACACACATCAAAGTAATACACATGACATTGAAAAACGTAAATACATTAAGCTAACCCAGCTAACCATTTTACATAGAACCCATATCATAGGCCTACGTGTAATTCTGTTAAATAAGAATTTTAAGAGCTTAAAAGCGTTATTTTGAAGGCATACATGCGAAGTGCTAAATTAATTGTTTTTTTTTCATTTAACAATATCCAATAAATCACAAATACTATGGGAAGGCGTGCTTGCTCATCAATCTTTTCCACCTAATCTTAATCCTTTATCAAGTTGATCATTGGTAAGAGGAAGTTATCAAGAGGGATTAGGTTGATTGACGGTGGGCTTAACGTCACCGTGCTGACGGCATGAAAAGTGTACTCCTCCAGGTCAGCTCATTTGCATATTCAAGATATCGAAATAAAGTTTATGTCTTAGGGCGATACTGTATCTAACGTTAGAGGAAGTTGTTATGTATCATAGCCGAGTATGCCTAATTGAAGATATTTGTCTGCTTTGTTTTACCATTCATTTAATAATAAAAAAGCAATTAGGCTAAATAATAAATCGCTTATTTCCATTAGGAATATTAGCAACGTCTATCGTTACAGATGCAAAACATATTGAAAATATATAAATATATTCAAATTTTGTAATTCATCAAAATATAATTGATATGATTAACATCTATGAAAAAAACAACAATACAAACTGACACAGTACACGGTGTAGTATTTACAAAATATACATAAATAAGATAATCATTAAGCAACGGGCTATTGATAAAGCACTATTAGTACCAATTCAATAACTAGAAGAATAATATTACTGTATTATGAAAATTATGTGCACCAATTTAAAAGACAACTTTATCTAAATCATTTAAAATATCAAAAATGTGAAGCGCCATCATTAAATGATCAAGGCATTATCTACATTGCTTCTCTCTACCTATACCAGAAGTATAAATTGGTATCTGGCGGGGTTGCTTGCTCCTGCACTGATTACCAGCAGCAACATTTAAGCATGCGGACCCAGTAACCAGGGAAAAGAATAGCTTTGTATCTACAAAGAAAAGGCGCTATATAAATAATGTACATAATAATTGGCAATTAACTACAGTCTAAGACCATAGACTCACTAATACAATATTTACTTTACGCACTGTAAATATTATTAACATTACTTCGGTAGCAATCTGCCAGGCCTGTCTAACGTTCGCAGATCCTTAATCCTCCATTAATCCCTAGTCCCTGCTGGTGCAGCATGCGCCCATTAGGATTATACAAACACACTAAGTTATCTAGATGTTGTTTGAGATATACAAATATGTCAATCAATCAATCCATCAATGATCAATCAATCTGTCGTTTGAATTGAAATATATTATGATTGTGTCTTATTTAGTCATGACATCATGATCAAATAAGAGGTCTTACCACAAACTGATTTGCATCGTTGGTGAAATCATAGTGAGATACTGTACTGTATTCACCAAAATAGGTCAAAGTCAAAATTTTTACAAAATTTGTATTTTAATGTTTTTGAGTAACTTGATATAAAACAATGTTCTCTGCACATATTCTGTAACTCTGTCCTATTAGTTGTACAGGTTAGTATACCTCTCATACACCGAACTTTAATGCTCATATCTGTGGATTACTTATCCTAGGGAAACCTTTCAAAGACCAAATTAAAGCTTATAACGTGATCTACCCAAATATAATATAAACTCAATTTTTGAATTTCTAACCATGAGATTCAGTTTGTGGTGAAAAACTCACGTCCATGCTTTCATGCTTTTTTTTTTTTTTTTTTTTTTTGGATACACGATGGAGAACCCGGTCTTTTTCATTTATTTTTATTGTACGCTAGGCCCGTGGTTCATAAAAAGTTCGAAGAAAGGAGGTTGGCAGAAAGAATTGGGTGGGTTAATGAAGAATAAAATTAACATTAGCTTAACATTTCCCCTGTGTCGTGGATCGATTAGGGCAGACTGATAAAGGCTGTATACTGTATAAAAACCTGGTAAAATGACCACGAAGGCCGGGTAAAATGACTCTATAGACTATCGAAATGAAAATCCCCGATCTGCGATTATTGTATCGTAAGGCATAAAGAATAATGAATGACACTCAAACTAGCAAACAATGACCGACTTATTTACTTATTTATTTTACGGTACCTATTATATATTCTTAATGATATGGCTCATTCTTCCATTTTTTAATATTCTCATAAACCAGACTACCTGTTTTGTAAAATTATTTTTGTATTTATTTTACTATAATACGATACTTATAATATATTTTGTTTATATTTGATCTGTAATTATATTTATTTTCACTCTGATTTTACCTATGGTTGTGAGAGTGTATTTCATGCTCAAAACCTGATTATTGATAGATTGAACATTCATTGTGACTGCTAGATGAAGGAAATTCAACATATTACTACCGAAATAACTCTTTGCCATGCTAAAGTGTAAATATGAGTTTCTTATAGGCCACACATAATTATTTGTAGCACTGTACATATACACTATTATTATTTTTATGTTACGGTACATCTGCATTTTGTATTACAAAAATAGGCCTATCTTTGTCTACACTGTAGACTAAGTAAAGTTAACATAGGCTTACAGTATTTTATTAAATATCGTTATGTTCATGAACAGCGGTATTTTAGAGTAGCAACTGTACTGTAGGCCTATATGCAAAGCATATCGACACATTCTAGGACCATAATATGACACATTCCACGACCATAATATTATTTATGGAAGTTTTAAATTATTTCTATTCGTTAAAAAGTTTATAGTTATGTGCCTGTGTTTCAACAATTTGTAAAACTTAGCAACATAGGCCTATAATGTTTCTTCATTTTAGTTTTTTGTTAAATGTATATAGAAATTTATAATTTCATTATTTTCATTTTTTATCTAAGTACCGTAACATAGGTCAGTATTGGAAATATTTCTTCGTTTTAGTTTTTAGTTCAAAACTTTGATATAAAAATATTTATAATTAATAAGAGAATATTTGTTTTAGATGGCACTTCTGTGATAATTGTTTTTGTTGCTACTTCTCATCTTCTTTTATAGTTCCAGCTAGTCAGGTATCTCTGCTGCATGATCTAATGAATATTCATGTCAATAATACGTTTCTTCGTTTTAGTTTTTAGTTTAAAACTTTGATTTAAAAAACTATTTATAATTATTAAGATTATATTAATTATAGTTCCAGCTAGTCAGGTATCTCTGTGCTGTATGATCTAATGAATATTCATGTCAATACTTCACACAAGCTCCTCTCATTCATCACGTCTCACACACAGTAACTCAGAACACTACAATCAATTACCAATAATCAATGATAAATTTCAAAAAGCAATATTTATTTACCAAAATATACACATCAGTTTTCAATAATAATTTACAGTTATGTTAAATAAATACACAAAATATCACATAATGCTGAGAAGCATAATTTTAGAATTGAGAAAAAAATAACTTTTAAATCAAACATGGATTATATTTAGAATAACATTGCACAATAGTAACTTTTAAAACATCGAAACTGGTAAATGATGATATACGTACGGTACAACACGACATGTGTATATTAACATTATAGTAAGTCTACTTTAATAATAATGGTTTAGTGCGAGCTGTTGACTTATATTATGAACCGTATATTATTACGAAATGTGTACTGTACGTTTAACTATTTAACCGAACATTACTTTTATTCGGTTGCTACGATGTATCACTAACAATCGACAAAAGCGAAGAAGGTGCGAAAACAGTTGAAGAGGAATCGGACGAGTGAGTGGATGAAGGAGACGACGGGAAAGATGGATTATCGCATTGTTGGTCGAAATCGTATGGAGGTGGATACACGCAGCCATCTTCCTTGTCAACCGGCGGCGCTCTTCTCCAATCGTACTGGTCTTGTGGTGGTAGTTGGTACGGATAGTCCATGTATGGATAGTAGAATGGCTCATAAGCTCGAAAACCACTGGGATGGTACATAGGATACGGAACGAGGCTTTGCTGATCCGCCTACAAGAAGAGATAAATAAAGTGAAGTTAAAACGGAAGTAAGACAACATAATGATTAACTTAGTGGCTTCCATGTTAACATTAGACAAATACTAAACAAATTTTATATTTCAAAAAATGAAGACTGCTAAGTGTGTAAAAATGTCAACCGTATGTTTCTGATTGTAAATAATGATCTAAAATGGATGAATAAACGTAAAAAAAAACATTTTATATTTTTTTTATTATCATTTTATATTATTATATTTTAATCATATCATTTTATATTATTATATTTTAACTAATTTTATATTTAAAAAAATAAAGAGCTTTGTAGATAGCTATATGAAACAGCCCGCTTTGTAAACGTTATGATGTGTCCCAAAAATAGATCAGTTTCGTATTTTTACGTCAGATCCAAATTTTTTTAAAAAATAAATAAGATGCAAAATTTAATCACATCATGATCGAACATCAACGTGTTTTATTCTATATAAAATCAAACTCACCTACCTTATAAGGTTGAACTACATGTAGCTTCCCGTCTTTTCCAACTTGATAGGATTGTCCTGAATGTGATTCAGAATCGCTGTACATTGAGAAATCTATGTCATGCGCCGGCACATACAGGTCCTCAAGAGTTGACAGATCATCCACGTTGTTGGTTCCTTGGTGCGCTGCCGGATGACGTCCATGCTGCCATGTGTGGTTGCTGTGTGGAGGTGTGTAAGGATGGTAGCGATGCTGACGACGAGAACCATGATGAGCAGTGTATGAATGTTGGTCGTAGTACCTGTCGTCGTAGTGTGACTCCGATGCAGCGTTGTTGCGTTGATAGCTGGATATTTCAGTTGTAGGGTGGTTGAGTAGTTTGGTTTGGTTGGATGCAGCAGGCTTGCCAGCTGACTCACTTGATGCAGGAGACCGAGATATTTTGTTTATAGCTAGAATTCTATTGCAGGCAGCATCGTTCTCACGGTTGTTCTTGCAGTGTTCACATTCTGCATTGAATGTCCAGAAATTGTCTTTACCATACGGTCGACTAGAATCTCGCAAAATTTTACTGAAGCACTCACTAGCAGATAGATTGTGTCTGACACTGTTCTTCCAGCCAACGTATTCGCCACGAAAGCAAGGGAACTTGTCTCTCATGTAGTCGGTGATGTCTCGAAGAGTCATTCTGCCAGAAGACGAGGATTTGATGGCCATACCAATCATTTCGACGTAGGAGTAAGGCGGCTTGACACGGCGTTTGTAGGCTGGTCGCTGTTTACCTTTGGTCGATCGTCGATGTGTTGAACCAGCATTCAACGATGTTTCTGACCCATTTGAAGAACTGGTAATCGATGCAGGCGATGCCCTGTCAGAATCAGTGGCACAAGTCAAGTTGTGAAAGATTGGCGAAACTGAACGCTCTCGGTCACACATGATTCAGGATCAAACTTATATAACAGATTTCAGATTTTTTTTTATTAACTCTACTGTATGAACTCAATGAGCGATATGATAACTCAGGCAGAAGTTCGATTATTTATATTCTCCGTATGCCCATGTCACTGCTATACTCGGTCACTGATTACAACCCCCGTGATTACGTAACCCTCGTAAAACAAAAGAAGCGCCCATCTCTGATTGCTCATTTGACGGTCACTGCACGCGGGGAGGTGCTAGCGTTGTAGCTTGCTAGACGCGACCGGCGGGCATTGTCTTAACTGACAGGGGATTAAAGAATGATGCGGTAGCACCTCTTAATAAACCGTCAATCGTTTTGTGATTTCAAATCACCGCTCATATTTCCCGTTCGCTTTCAATGAATTTCATGCTAGCCTTATTTTTCCGGTTCATTATTTTTATTTTGTTTTTTATCTTTCTAACTAAAACGGGCAATGTAGGGAAGGTATGACGCAACCGATTTGCTATCATCATCTAATTTCAGTGTGCAAACCATGTACTATTCTAGTATTCAGTAATTTCTAGTAATTACATACTACAAGATAGGAAAACATTGTGTTTTATAATCAAAACAAACTCTAAAAATACAGGTTTTAAACATAGGTCGTAAAATAAAATATTTGTGGTCATTATAGTACTGTAGCTTAGATTTATTTCTTACTTTGTAATACAAGAGTTTCAGTACTTTCAATTTAAATATATAAAAATGATGATTTATTTTATAAACCAATTTAATCTAAATTATAAACAAATAGTAATATACCGGTACCAATTAGCAAATAATATAAAACAAATTGTATTTACAATAGCCTACTCTAAATATAGTTCTGATTCGAAATGTTTCGTGTGTTTTTATGTTGCTTGTAATTCTCGTTTTTGTCAGTTGTGACTTGTGTTAAGCTTCAATTTGATTATAACATGCAATATCTTTGACGAAAATTGTAACGAAAAATGTTCCTATTCGTGTGTGGTAAAGGGGAAATGTGAAAACATAAAAAAAAGAATAATTTTCTGAATCATAAAAAAATAAAATAAAATGAAGCGAATTTATTACCGTATCTATCAGTTATCATAGGCCTAACTCAGGCATCACAACCTGGCAAAAATCGGGGCATTTTATATGTATAGGCCTACAAAAACTGGGACTGGCTATTCAACTGCAACTTTATAGGAAAGGACCAATAAATATAGATCGCTGCAGTACCTAATAGGCCTAATCGTCAGTGTATTATATTTGATTATAACTATACTAGTGTACATAGAACATAAGCTAGTCCAGGTTCGTAATAAATCCCCGTGTGAGTATTTAGAGAGTTATGATATATAGGCCTACTACTTTTTATTCTTGTTTTGTAGGCCTTATTTGTGCATTTGTTTACGATGAGTATTGCATCCAATAGTGTAAAACACCGATTACAAGATTAAATATAATTTAATATCGAATAAATGAAATTAAAAATAAGGAAAAAGCTAAATAACGTTGATATGCTATATATTATTACGTTTCAAGTAGAGCAAACTTTTCATCACGTAGGCCTACATGAGTCTGTATAATAGGCCTATATTAAATGTAATTGTGAATTAAATCGTAGGACCTATATAAGGCAGACAAATATGGTCAATGTAAACGCAGGGTTATTTACCGAAACAGGCCTACTGTAAGTATATGGCCAAGGGGTTTTATGTTCTGTAGTTTATTGAAAAATAAGAATAATTTGTCGCCTGTTTACCAACACTACCCAGCTGGGAAAACATTAGAATACTATATGCAATCTTTATTAAGTGACTCATAGACAATATAGTTTGTACATAAAGAATGAGCCACTTCTGAACGATGAGTAGGGCCTATGACCGGAAACTCACACCGAATCATACCAATTCCTCTTGGCAATAAAGAGCTGATACACTTATCAATGCAATAATTGATGTTTATAAACCGGAATAATTGTCTATACTTTCTTATAGCTCCGGACCCATATGTTCGTTAGTGACTTCGTGGAAGATAAGAAAATCGGTGCAATGAGTCAGTCCGACTAAGCGTAAAATGTGTTAATTATTTTTTTTTTTAAACAATGTTTCGAGTTCGTGTGTTTCATGGTGCGTGGGTTCTTTTTTACCCTCGGTCAGTGACCTTCCAGACTTGTAGGCCTAAATAAATTTAGAATGGTACGGTAAAATTTAAAATATTAACCAGAATACCAATCTTTGAGGTTCCATTGCTGTTTCAAATTCTCTGTACAAAATGAAGAATACGATGCCTAAGGTGTCCACGCGCACGTCATTTAAAAATGTTAATTTACGGTAGAGTTATTATTACCATGTTATTACTACGAAGTTTTTTCATGCAACAAATAGCCATATAGAACAGCAAGTTAGATGATATTGGTTCACTCATTTATAACAGGAACGTTCCCGCAAGCAGAGTTTCGACCCATACACAGCTAAGCAAATATAAAAGTTACAAGTATATAAATATAAAAATCATCTGAAAATATCATTGTACTTGAAAAGAAATAATGAATATCAAAAACAGAACCTAAATACAATTTCAACAAGGCACAGAAACATGTAAGTACAATAATTAGCGGTGGTAATTTCTTTCATAAGTTTGTTCTTGGGACACAGCCTTAACTAAATATGTTTTCAATGGTAGTCAAATATTTTAAAATTGTTTTTTTTTTTTTTTTTTTTACAATTGAAATTGGTCGCAGATTTAGAGGGAATTGATCTGATATAGGCCTGGCAATAATTTTTTTACCTTTTTATCTACCTCTTTAATGTGTTTATTATCATTGTTTTTATTGTGAATTATAATGCCCGAATATTTATATTGTCTATTTCATTTAGTATTTTATTTTCCTCTTTCTGTTCCACAATACCAATTACGTAATCCTGCTCTTACTTCAAGTCCAGCGGGGAGAGCGAATGTTACTAATAATGGGTTTATCAATCGTCTGCCAAAATTATACAATTATTTTATGTAAAATTGATTTTTCTATTGACATTTTTTGTGATTCTCCTAGTGTTTTTGTCAAAAGGTTTTGTTTGTCTTGTGTTAGTAATATTTAGTAGGCTATGTTCAAACTTCTTATGTTCATAAAAATTTTATTATTCCGTCCTGATAAAGGGTGACCTCGGTCACTGTTGGACGTTGATGAAAAAAATAAAATAAAATTTCCACGTTGTGAACTCTTTTGGACAACGATTAACACATTTGACTTTTCTAGGTTAGGTACTATTCCATAAAAAAGGCTAGTAGACCTAGTAATAAATGAACACATATAAAAACACATTGTGAAAGCATAGAGGAATACTTTCATATATGAAGACAAGAGGACAGTTTGATCAGTGAGAAATAAGTCGTATCAATGTGGATATACGTGTTCTGAACAAAAGCCTAAGGAGCCGTGTAGCCTAGGCCCAAATTTACTATCAAAACACCCTACCCCCAGCCTTCAGCAAACCTTCACCATCTTAAACAGACCACACTTACAAAAAATAGACGTTAAAATTTAAAATCCATTAACAATTTGTATAATAATTATAGTTTCTTTTCTATTTTAAACTGCAAGATGCATCATATCGTTTTATTTAAGCACTCAATCCACGGGGACCTCTGAATCCAAAGCTCAGGACCCCCTTCTGTAGATGATGGCCACACGGGCCTGTATACTTTTTTTTTAAATTTATTTTTTTAATGTATACATGTGAGGAATATCTACAAACTTGAAAAATGATAGGAATGATTATTTATGTTTACGCTATTATCATTATCGTTCAATGTCCATGAAATAGGTGAGTCACAGTTTATTAATTAACTCATTTCCGAGTTATTTAGATAAGCTATCATCCTTAAAATATAAATTAAAACAAAAAATGCATTTAAAACATGTATTTTGACGACTCCCCGAGGAAAATGGGAATAGGCCTATCGGAAAAACTTGAAATAAATTGCTTTATTCATTTACGCCTTCCGCTCAACTAAAATCTCCAAAAATAAGATAGGCCGACAATATTTCTTCCTTAATTATATAAATTTAAAGCATTTATCAATCTCATTAATACACTTTTAATATTATCAATACAATTTATTTAGTTTCTCTTCCGCCAAGATACTTCGGCAAAAATCATTTCCTAGATAATAAAAAAAAAAGTTTTTTCGCCCTCCTCTGAAATAAGTTCGCTGAAGAAGGCATTAATAAAGTCTCGCCTAAAAAGCTACCGTATGGTTCGACGTCGGTATGATTTGCTATCAAACAATCATTAGACGCGCATTTGATGACGCCGCGACGCGCTTTCATAAAAAAAATATGAATAGAAGCCTTTTCATAGAAATTTACTTTATTATTCTTCTTTACTAAAAAGACGCTGCTAGATTTTATTAAAACAAATAACATTGTCCTGTTGAAACATCCAGGTTTTACAAAATACTGTTTTACAAAACACCAACTATGGAAAAAATGCTTTAATTATAGTTAATTTAAATTTTACTAAAATTTAATTGTGAACGCATATATATTGCCTTTAAAACAATGTAAACTGAAATTATTGATGTTTAGGTACACTATTGCTGCCTGCAGATGCTTTATAATAATTAAGTCTTATTCGAAACGCCAGGGAGCACTAAAAATTCGATTTCGCTTGATCGCCATGTCGTTTTTGGATTCGTGATTTTTACGACGTTGTGCAACAGTTTTTTTACAGTTTACAAGACAAACAAATAATAATAATAATAATAATAATAATAATAATAATAATAATAATAATAATAATAATAATAATAATAATAATAATAATAATAATATATATATATATATATATATATATAAAATGGTGCAATATTTTGTATTTATTTATTTATTATTCTATCATTAGGCCTATTTATGTTTGCATTGTGATTTATAATATGTCTACAATTATCGGCATATCCAGTTGTTTGATCTGTCTATATTTTTCATGGGGAAATGATACATTTTTGCCTCAGATTTTTTGTAAAAAATATATAAATATATAAATTTTGATTGCATATATAATACAGTAGATTCATATTCATAATTTAACTCAAATA